GAAGCAGACTTAAGAATCTTTTAAACTCCACACACAAAGGAAATTCTTGCAGCCCATTACGAGTAGCAGATTTACTGTCACATCCATGAAACTTTATGCCACAATAAATCTGTTACCCTTTAAGATGTCAGAAGCCTCCCCCTCTCTCCCGTTCTCGTCTGCTTCCACCCACTGTTTGTGCTACCTTCCTAGAATTTGAAATCAACTTTGCATTCTCCCTGTCTTCATCAACCTTGTGGAGAGAAAACAACAGCGGAAAGGAATAATATCCTTCCTGCTCAAAGTGAACTCAGATATATGTGCAGAGAGATTCGTTGCCAAGAAGGAGATAACAGAATACTTCAGGGGGGTGGTAAGGTTTGGAGAAGTAACCTGCTTTTTTAAAATTCCTTCTAGATCTCAACCATGTTTTAAAAAATTCTAAATCCCCCCCCCCCTTCCTGCAAGACCACTGAAGTCTAAGTTCATTCTGGGGTCCAATACAACAGCTGGAATCAAATTATGATAAACACAGGGGTGTGTTAAAATTAAAAGTCACCAGTTATTTTTAACCACAACTCCCATTATCCCTGGTCGCTGGTCAAGCGGGGTAGGGCTGAAGGGAGCTGTAATCCAAAACTCTTGGAAGAGTGTGAGGTTGGGGAAGGACGCTTACGGGATCCTCATGGGGGTGGGAGAGTAGAACGGGAAGCACTTCGCTAGCCAACAGAGATAGGCTCAACTATTTTCCTGTCAATCTCCCTTGTATGCAAGCTCAGCCTGGAATTAAACGGAAGGAGATCGTTAGTTTGCAATGATGCATGAAGAACCATCAACTCTGAGCAAAAGTTAGACAACCCTGTCAACCAGGGACAGACGATTTTTGGTAGCCGGAAAGCACATTTAATATTTGCTTTGGAGGTGGGGAAGAGAATAACAACTGAATTAAGTAGGAGTGATGGGACAAAATGGGAAGGTCACATATATGGCTGGAATTGGGGGGTATCTTCTTAGGGTTTGGGGGAGACTTCCCCTCTATCTGTTTTTAAAATAGTGCTTAGGCCTACTGGAGGGTTCATGCTGCCCTTTTCATGAGTCGCAGGAAACCAGATTAGTACCCCAGATTTCCATGGGTGTAGGCCTGGGGATCTGTAAGGCAAGGATGTCATGACAGCATCATGCAGATGAGACCACGCTTGTGGATGGCATCTTTTTGGATATCACACACTTTGCACATTTGTCTGATGACCCCATCTCTGCGCCTTGCGCTGGACACTTGTGGCTAAAGGGGGCTGCTGCAAGGAATTAAGTATGGAAGTCAATCAGGGGGTTGGGGCTCTTCTTTCTCAAAAGCTACAGCATCCTTCCCTTTTAAATAAGCAGTGCCTAGAACAGTGTTTCGCAACCTTGGCAGCTTTAAGGTGCATGGACTTCAACTCCCAGAATTCCCCAGCCAGCATGGCTGGCTGGGGAAT